GCCTTCCAGGTGGGATTCAAGGGGACAACCACTGAAAAGGGGGGGGGGGGGAAGCATCGTTTGTGTATGAAGGAAAAATGGAATATCTCACGAGTGTGGAGTCACCGATTGAGCTGGAAGGGCCCAAACGGGCAGCTTGACAAACCGCTCTCCGCATTACAAGCGCATTTCCATGCAGACGATTGCGTTTGGACGGTTGACCTGTCCGTGTGTGTGTGTGTGTGTGTGTGTGTGTGTGCGTGTGTGTTTGTGTGTGTGTGCGCGTGTGTGTGCCTGTGTCTCCACGTCAGTTCCTCTGAAGAGCATTGAGGTGGAGGTGGATGTGCGGGACCACGTGGCCACCGTGCTGGCCTCGCTGCACTATGAGAACAAGGAGGACAGCGCCTTTGAATGGATGGAATAATTGGATTTGAGAAAACACGTCGCTCGGTGACGCGGGACCTTTGCAAAACGTGGCTGACATTCTTTCTGTCCTCGTTCCGATCAGCCATCACGGACGAGACTCTGAGCTTCGTGGCACGCAGTCGCCGCCTGCTGGTGGTGTTGGGCCCCGGCTACGCCCGGCAGGGCTCCCAGGCCCTGCTGGAGCTCAAGGCGGGCATGGACGGCCTGGCCGGCGGCCACCTGCGCCTCATCCTGGTCCAGTACAAGCGCGTGCGGCGGCGGGAGTGGGTGCGCGAGCTGAGGCGGGCGCGCGTGGCCCTGGCCGTGGTGAGCTGGCAGGGCGAGCCGTCGCGGGAGATGACGTCGCGCTTCTGGAAGAAGCTGAGGCTGGAGCTGCCCGTCAGGAGGATGCCCGGCACCCGCGCGGGGCACGGGGAGAGCGACGCCGAGGCGGGGCTCATGAGCCCGCCCGCCGGCCACCGGGCTCCTCTCGACCTCAAAGGCTCGTGAACGCCCGTCCGCTGGTTTTCAAAATGGCTTTTTCTTCACACGGCTGACTTTGGGGGAGAGGCGGCGTGCACCCTGGAGTAGTCGCTCCACAAATGAACTGGTCGCCCAGATGGGAAAACCAAACCTCACAACTGTGAGGCGGATGTTCTCACTACCGGGCTGCACCGTGCAGGGAAATGTACGATATGGGTGTTGACTCTTGTCTTTATTTTGTCGTGTGGCAAAATGATCAGGCCTTTTTGTTTTTTTTTTTCATCATTTAACCACATGGAAACCCAAATCCCAACTTCGATCGTACAGGGCGTGCGCTCTCTGCTGGGGACATGCGGTACTGCACGCATCCCGCTCGTTTCGAAGTGGTGGCAGTCTTTTGACCGCCACCTTTGAACCCGATGGCCTCGACCAGCGGTCCCCAAACTTTTTTGCCTCACCGACCGGTTTAATGTCCGACAATATTTTCAGAGACTGTCTTTTTTTAAGGCCGGATAAATACAACAAAATAATATATGATTGGGCCTTTTCCCCTTCGCAAAGACCTTTGTTTTTTACTCCTTTTCGCTCGCTCCCGGGTTTGATTTTCGCGGTAAACTATCACGTGACTAAGAAGCGCGCCTTCACTCCCGTCAAGAGTGACATATTGTAGACGGATGTACCAGATAATTTTATTAATAATCTTATTCAGATTCTGAAATGAATAAAATGGAAGTAATGGAAGTTATTCATTCTTTCTGTGTGGCCCAGGGGTGGGCAATCCCAGTCCTGT